AAGCTCTTGACGTTGCCATCTCTGTACTTCTAGGTCCGTACTCTGACCGATAAAGCAAGAGTTCCTCCCATAACCCTTTCAAGGTGTCATAATGGTCGATTAAAGTTTTTTTGCCCTACTTGATATTAAACATACGCTCAAACAATTCATAGATTCGGGACACAATTTGTTTTTATGAGTATATCTCCTCGAGAGAGACTAATGGAAGAAGATCCAAAAATAGTGGATCTTAAAACAGCCCATTTTTCAAAGAAAACTTCAAAACGTACAAAAGTCTATGTAAATGGCTTCAAAAAGATATCAAAAAATACTATAATGTTCTCATCGCCGAAAATGTTGACTGCAACATAGACCGTTCACGTTCTACTAATTCTCGTTGCTTTTTTTAAAGATTATTTGCTCTTATACTAAGTTGAAATTGTAAAGATAGTATTAGGGTTTATAAGTGAAGAGAAGAGAGAGAAAGAACAATCTTAGTGTAAGCTGTGTTGCCCTACACCCTCTTTCTTATTTATATTGAGCAGGATCTTGGGTAATTTCAATATTACCCTACATAAATATAAAACATAAAAATAAGAACTCAAGCGGTATATACCATGTAACAAATACAAAATGTCAAATCCTATCCCTCAACAAAGCAATAATGGAGCAATTACAATTGTAAAGGAGTCAAAAACCAAATCTCACCAGGTCCCTAAAGAATTGGATCCACCAACAGGAATGACATATGGCATTCTTCCTTCATTAACCAACTTCTCTTTTAATAAATTAGTAAGAACCTGGAAACAAAGGAAAAGAAAATTCAGTCATACAAACAATGTATTTTATTAGGTTAGTGTTAGAGGAATGTATTGAGTAGACCATGAAATAAGAGTATCCAAGTCTTTTAGTTGTAATTCCAAAAGCATATATATTAGGGTTATCTTAACCTAGTCACTTCATCTAAATCTCTCTTTCTTTTTCATAATAAACCCCAACTTCAAAAAGGTATCTTAAGAGCCTTTGGGCAAGACTCTTCTTTTCCATTTCATTGATTTGGTATTGGTTCTTCCTTTGTTTGTGTCACAAGTGCACTTTGTTATGTCCCTGATTACGTTTTGATTGTTCTAACTATCATTTCACGTGCGAGTGGGGGTCACACGTGGGGGAAGTGTTAGAGCTTGTCCTACATCAATGTAATAGTATACCCTAAACTAGAATATGAGTCTTGTGAGTTTCTCCACTAATTGCCAATTGATTCTAAGTTAGATTATTGCTCGCTAGTGTACTCATTGTAACCATCTCAATCACACCTAATAATTGTTGAGATTTGCATGCAAACTATTGGAGTCTAACTGCACCTTTGTTTGCTTCTCCCTATTTTGGGCACCTTCGTGCTTCAGATGTGATCACTATTCCATGAGATGAGTACTCCCAATTTATGTCTCACAATAGGCCACATCCTTTGCTTCCAAGGATACCTTCACTCAATCAAATATTTCATTTGTCTTATCTTTTGTCCTCAACACATGGCTCCTGGATCATAGGCTCTAGAACATCTAATCATATTACTAGTTTGTCAAGTATCTTCTAGAATTATCATTCTTTTCCTTTTAATCGTACTATTACCCTTGCTAATGGCACATCATCTAAAGTTTTAGTTTTAGAGACTACTAATTTTAGTCCTATGGCTATGGTTGTCAAACATGTATTAGAAGACGTATCGTTGGCAAAAATAATCGTCAATTTTTAATAATTTACTAATAATATATATACACCCTAGAAGAAAAGTGATGATACCATATCATTTCATATTTTCATTAATATTCCACTTACTATTAAAATTTCCAACATAGTTCATTAATATCATTAATTTGCTAAAGTAGTACTTACATTTGGATTTATGGGTCTGTGTTGCAGGTAGAAAAGCTGGAGGAATGAGACAAGAAGAACAAGAGGAGGCTGAAATTTGCCTAACCAGTGGATGCAATGATGAAGAAGCCTGCAACTGCTGAAGATTTTCGAAGACTCTTGCAACTAATAAGAAGCAAAAGAGAGAGGAGAGTAGAGAAGAAAGCCCCTGGTTCGATGTCTTCTTGCACAACAGAGAGAGGAGATCACGATCGAGGGTTTCTCAAATCTGATCAGCTTTTATTTATTTATTTTTATGCCCTAGTCAATGAAACGATGTCGTTTCATCGACTAGGACTTAAAAATAAAAGTCCATGTCAAAACGACGTCGTTCCCACAACGAAAATCGAAAAATAAAAAAAAAAAACAGCAGCTTTGTGCATCATGTGACACCTCGATGAGAAACGCCATTAATGCTTGGTCTCCAGAACCAACAAGAAGACACCCCTGTGCAAACGGATCAATCAGAGCTGACCTGGGGATGATCGTGGTTTAATGCTCAGGACAAACATTAAATGCTTGGCTACTGGTTTCTAGGGGACAGTAAATGCGCAACTCGAGACATAGTAACTGCACAGCTCAAGGAATGTATCCCTGAAAATAACAGGGGCCAGCCCCCTTCTGCTCCACGTACAACCGAATCAAGGAATTTCCCTCCTAAAAGGGCTGTTAGGCCACCCAGCTGGTCCACCAGCCTCGTTATCAGAACTGGTCAGCACCATGAGGTATAAATAGCCCAGTGGCTTTGGGTCTCAGATATGCAATCCAAAACTAGAATTCTCACTAACGATTTCCTCTCTCACATCCATTGACTTGAGCATCGAAGGGGAAACGTCGGATACATATCCGGCCCCCTTCTAACCCCTTTCCTTGTTGTAGAGCTCTCTAGTGAAGTCTGTTCAAAGACTCTCTCATGTGGCTCAGCGCAGGTGTTGCTATCTCATTGACTGTGTTAGAATCATCCCATGCAATTGTCATCTTGGTCAGTCATCACTTCTAACCTTGCGGCGTCAAATTCCAAGTCTTAGTAGTGGGCATCTATTTGTCGTGAAACTTGTCACTTTACTACTAGGATAAGGTTTAGGAGATTGACAAGAATTGGAGTTCTCAACCAATGCCTACAAATAAGTTAAAATCCTATTGGGATTCTCATACAGTGACAATAGTTGCTCTTGTGGACGCCGATAGAATTCTACTGAACTACGTAAATCCTTGTGCTAATAGAACTCAATTTTTTTTTCTTGTTTGATTGTCACCACACAGGACGTTCACTACAAACTGGTATCAAATTGGTTGGTTACTCGATCCAATGGCAGTTAATTGTTTGACAGCCCAGTACGAACCCTGAAATTTTATGAAACTAGGAATTTTGGGTTATGGTAGAGCAGAGTGAAGGACATATTGGCACACTGGGATAGGTGAAGGGTTTGTATGGGAAAGAGAAAAAAGGGAAAAAGATGAAGGATGTGAATGAGAAGAACCCAAGATAAAGGCAGTGAGTACATTCGCTTTTGTCCGACCTAACAAGCATGGACACGGACACGGACACGTTGGGAGACACATCAAATATTATATTTAATATATATAATCATGTGATAAAATAACTATATTTTATAATAATCATTCAATTTTTCCTTTCATTAATTCTAACAATTCTAACTAATTACTCTAATATTGCTTATTTATAAATAAGAGAATGTAGGGCAACCTAACCTACACATAGATTATTCTCTTTCTCTCCTCTCCTCCTCTTGCCTCTCATTCTTCCTCTCTCTCTTACAAACCCTAATACCATCTTTATAATTTTAATTGTATTTGTGTTTAATTATGAGGAACTATATGTCTTTGCAAAGGCTCCTCATACAAAAACAACTATAGTCATAGCAACAACAACAAGAAGAATAACACAGCTCAATAGTGGGCAAAGATCAAACAAAAACTCAAGTGAGAGTGTAAGCGTCTGATCCATATTTGTTACTTCAGATTTATAGATGGGATGTGCATGTTTTTCTCACCTAGAATGAAGTCACCACATGCTGAACACGTGTCCATCTATAGAATCTGTAATATGTGGAAGTTATTAGGAACAATCTTTAATTAACCTGAAAGATTAAATTGGGAGCTTTTAATTGATTAGATCCGACAGTCTGCATATATTTCATAAAAGAGCTCCACCATCCTTCAGAGAATGTGTTATCTTGTTATGCAAATCACATAATTTGTGAACACATTTTTTCTATATGTAAAACACAAAGGCTCTTGAACTTAGTGACTCTATCTTAACTAATATACCAATTTTTGAATTCCCCAAATTACTAGCTATCTACAGTAATAAAATTCATGCTAAAAAAGCAAAGACAGCTTAAAACCCAAAATCAGGGGGTTCAGTTACGACCTCTAATGCAATCAAGTGATGCGCCTTAGCTGCTACAATCTGCAAACTAGAGACAGAGGGGGGAAGGACATTCCAAATTCCCCTAATCTACTAATCATTGCACTAAGAAGACCTCGCCTGTTTTTCCATAACTACATTCATCGAGACCTTGGTTTAAAGAATGTTTGACCATCAAGTACAGTTGAGATCTCTGCTTTCATGGCATCACTTTGACTAGCCTACTCTACGATAATAAACTCTTGTTTGTCCCAGATTTGCAACAAAGCAACAATCGAAATCAAACTTAACCACTGAATAAGAGGATCAAGTAAAGTAAAACCAAGATATTTAGGGCTCGTTTGGTTAATATATTGCAAAAGAATATATTGTACTTGGTAATACAAGCTAATCAATACAAGCGAATAAAATGCAAGATTCAATATAGAACAAAAATACTATCCATTGTAATCTAGTATTTGGTAAGATACCGGATTAAGAATGAGATAATAGACTACTAATTATATATTGACCAAAAAATCATCCATCTAGTGTAGTTTTTCATATTTTTATTTCCGAGGGCGTATTATTTGTATACGCATTTGAAATAAGCTTGTATATACTACGGGATGTTTTTGGCAACCAAATACAGTATAATATTGGATTAGAGAGTTTTAATATATTATGATTCTATGATCCACCCTTTAATACTGTAATCAAACAACCCCTTAATGCATAATCAAACAGACAATGGGGGATATGGAAATACCAAACTCCCAACGGCTGCATATTCTTCTTTTGAGACAAGATCAATGTGGGCACCAACTAATCGCTCAACCAAGAGATTGCCTGTCAATCCAGGGTCTTTGTCCACAAGAACCTGCACTACATCAAGAAATGTTATGCAAAAGAAATTCCAAGAAGAAGCACAAGTAGGGAAAAAAACATAACATTAACAAGAAACCTTTGAGGTGCGTAGTATAAGATAACAGTCGAGATTTAAATACTTAGCAGCTACAGCAGTTGCACGACAGTGGTTGCTTTGGATGCCTCCTATGGTTATAATGCAATCTGCCCCCTGTGCCACAGCGTCTGCCAACAAGAATTCCAGTTTTCTGACCTTGTTACCACTCAGTTGCATTCCAGAAAGGTCATCACGCTATATCCGGCAAAAAATTCCCAGTCAATCGAAACCAGATGACCGAAGTATTAGATGAATACTTACCCTAAGCTTATGCTATCAGAGGAATTGAAGTTTAACATGGTATCAAAGACTAAAGTCTTGAGTTCAAATCAAGACAATATCACCTTCCTTAATATACAACAAAATCATAATCACGTGGATCAACCATCAAGAGGGTCATTCAAGATGGGAGTATCAGACGAATACTTTATTATACCCCTGTCTAAGCTTTAGCCAATTCATTCACACCAAGAGCATATTACAACAGCAAGTGTCTCATGTGAATTAAACTAATAGTTCCTAAAAAGACTAGGTGAAGGCAAAGTGGAATTTTTATAGTTGCCTACTCACCTTCAACCAAACTTGAGTGTTCTTCGGCAAATTAGGAAGGTTCCATCTGTGAATTGGAGTGGGGAACTGGCAAAAATTTCATAAAACAGTCAAACATCAACTCTTCAATTCATACAACATTTCATCAAAATCTCAAGACAAATACTTCAATTCGGCTAGAAATACATTAGGTTGGCCCCAGTTTGCTCCCAGGAGAATGGACCTAGGGACATGACTGTCCCTCCTAATAACCCAGTTAACAAGACCAAAAGGAGCAATCTCCTTGTATCCCTCCCAGAATTCGGGACACTTACACCATTGAAGAGGGGAATTATATATATGAACTTTGAAGAATCTCTGTTCTTCGTTCAAGATCATTCAGGAGACCTATGTTCCCCTGTGCCTGTTTTAGTGGGCGATTCGGAACTCAAGTTTGGCTGAGAGAGAGAGAGAGAGAGAAGTGAAGTTTCTTACATGTCCAAGGGAGAAGAAGTGAGATGGAACTGGGTTAAGGTGGGACGCCCATGAAGGAGGCTCATAGGGCTTCTTTGCGAAGAGCTCGAAGTTAGGTTGTTCTCTGGGTGATTCCATTACTATGGCAGAGGAATTGCTTCGCTGTTGTTGGTTGAACATTAACGTCTTGCTGATCGAAGTGATCGACACTGCTGGACTAAGGATAGAAGAGATGGACACTGCTGGACTAAGGCACACTCTGCCACAGCTCCAGCTGGTGCACAACATTTTATTCTATTTACCGGTCATTTTCAGTTCCCTTCTACTTCTATTGTATAAGCCACCACAGAGTACGACAAAGTTTTCGCCGGCCGACGGGTGTGTGAACTGTTCTGATTTATGGAACGCAAAACATGAACAAAAATGCAAAGAAAAAATGCAAGGGTGGGCTATTCCCCTGAAATCTCATTTCCTAGCCTTTAAATCTTCTTTTCCAACCTATTTAATTCTCATAATTCAAAATTCAAACTACTTGAAGCAAAATTTTAATCTTTCAAGATAATTTAAATATTTTAAGATTTTTTACGAATGTCTTCAAAATATTTTAAGGTATTTTAAGATATTTTAATATATTTGATTAATATTTTAAAAATAAATTATTAATTTTATATTCATTTTTATTCTATGTCTGAAATATTTCTTTATCGAAATAATACACCGAAATTTTTTTTTAATTATTATCTATATAGTAGGTTCAAATAATATTGGATGAATTTAGTTTTTAATTAATAAATATAGACGTGGTCGTTTTAGTAACTAATGGAATAAACATAATAGTTTGAAGTATGAGGATTAAATAGAGTGAGATAAAAGATTTAAGGGGCGGGAATAACCCCACCCAAAAGCAAGTACTCTGCCATAGTCACAAAACAAAGAGGCAAAGGAAAAAAATTTAATCAAGGGAGAACCCACATTTTGCACCCAAAAACATTTTACAATTCTGAATTTGTATTCTTAACTGAAATGTCATAAAATAGTTACAATATCATTTTCACACTATCTTTTTGTTGCATATTTTATCAAATTCTATTGCACGTAATGTACTTGAATTTGAGAGAAATAAAAAAAAGTTAGTATGAGAGCCACATTAAAATTATTTTGTGCATTGAGCATGTAATGTGAAAAGATTAATTTTTAAGTGTCTAAAGTAAGAATTTTAAAATATTTCAGGTATAAAGTATGATTCACGTGTTAGTTAATTATATTATTTTGGTAACTCTTACGCTGCGTTTGGTTCGCAGTAATACCTTTAAATAGGAATAGAATGGACATTAGAATAGAACGACATTGGAAATGGAATTGAATAAGCATTACCATTACCATGTTTGACAATTAACTTGAGATTAAGTCTTGGAATGGAATGTGCATTCCATTCCAATGTTTGGATTAAATTATTGATGTTGGAATAGAATGAAATTTGGCCAAAATATAATTTTTTTTTTATCATGGAACTTCTAACTTAATTTAACATACTACCATATGATGAATACTCCTATTAATTTTAGAACTTGAGAAGTAAGATTAAATGGACAATTAACTCACACACATAATCACATAAAATTCACCAAACAAATATTTAAAATTGATAAACAAATAAAAAAAGCTGAAATGCATAAATTTCATTATCATACGCATTTATATTCTTGTTCTCACCAAAATAAATAAATAAATATCCACCCAAAAAAAATATAAAAATATATGTATATTGTTCCACAAACCAAATAAATATAATTTTGAGCATCGTACAATTTTCTACATAATTCAAATTAATTCTCCATCCAAATAAATATGTTCAAATAACACTGCTTAATATTCCTCTAACAAATTATGTCTTTTCGACCTCATGCATAGCCAAAAAAAGGTTAGTAAGATCGAAGTCATGAGTCAACATATTCGAGGCTTTGCGCCTCTCACTAATGGAAAGGTTGAGCATCTTCAACAACTCTTCAAAAATCTTTTTCTTTAAGTTGTAGACTGCAACATCAATACTAATTGCACGGGCAAACATAGTTATTGCCTCTTTTAAGTCACGGACTACAACAACACCACCAATTGGGAGATTAATGACAACACACATTTAGCACTTAAACAAATACAAAGCAAGCAAATAGAGCAAAATAAATTTAGCACATTCATGTAAAGAACTTTGACAAATTCACTTAGCTATCACTAAAGATTTGTAGTTAATTGTTTTGGTGGAGTCTCCAATTTGTGTGATCTGTTTCTTTATCCTGCAAGAAACTACAAACGAACCATAGCTTATGATAGAGGATGTGTTGTACATATGTAACTTCATTGAGGATCTTATCAATTAAGATATGGGTTCTCTAATGAAATAAATCATGACAACCTTTTTGGTCTTCACCATTCCCTTTAGCCATAGCAAGGAGTTCCTTTCTATTTTTCCCCGCTGCATTACTCATGTCCTGAGAAAAGAATTGATTTCAGCTTAATTTTTGGGGATGGAAAATAAAACCCAAAGAACAAGTTAGTTCTGCCAGTTCTCATACCGGAAGAGGGAAGTATGGGGAATTCATGTATGCGTTCGTATAATGCTTGACACAAACTTCTTGACTCTTTGTCCCAACATGATCACCAATTTCTGGGCAATTCCCTATGCCATACATTTCAATCCCCTAAAAAAATAAATTTCATCAAGCACACCAGAAAAGAAAATGATGGAATACAAATCAGATGTCCATTAGTAATACAATCTACAAATCAAGCCACATCAAACATTAAGAAAGGATTGACAAAAATTAAAACACCTCTAGAAGCAACATTTCTTCATCAGCATTCCAATCTGGATAGATAAGTGGGAAAGACAAATTGTCCTGTAGAAATGACAATGTAAGAAGCAAGAGCACAGTGAGCCAACAAATAGCCTAAAGTAAGATCCACTATGCTTGTTATATTTCATTCGGTATGAAATCAGGTGAAAATTATTTGAACATAGTTCAATCACAAAACATAGAGTATAAAAGGAATGATTGAGAGTTTCACATTGCACTATGACCCAAATAATGAACTCCATTGCAGCTTATGCACCAAAAAATGCCCAGTAAAGCTCAAAGTCAACTTCAAATATGCATGAGCATAGGATGTGAGAAACACAATAATGCACCAAACAATCATGCACAATCAAGTCACATCTTAAATACACCCACTGTCAAACACACAACCATTACCATTATGATATTTCTTGGCCATCTCAAAGAAGAGGTACTTCATTAGGAAAGTCTTCTTTACTTGAACTTAATTTTTCCATTCACTTGAAAACACAAAACAAGTATCATGTTTCTTCAATAATATTAGAGATGTGGGATTAACTTCAAGTAAAACAAGATAACAAAACAATTTATATACCGACAAGGTATTAAAAATTAAAATCTAGATTGTCACATACCATAACCCTACAGGGATGATTGCTCTTATGAGGATTCACCTCAGCACCAACAGAGAAGCACTCGATAAAGAGGTCAAAATCAGAACATAGTTTCTTTAATATCTCTTTTGTGTACTTGAGATCTTATCATATTTGGGATTAGACATTCTTTATGGACTGTGTACATATTGTATAGCGGAGAGTGTGATTTGTCTTATTTGTACCTAAGACATGGACTCTGTTTTAAACACTTTTTATTGAGGCGTGTACCAGGTACTTAAAAGTATTTGTATAGGGTATAGGGTCATGCCTAACAAGCTGGGTTCACTCTATTTGTGTTGAGTGTACATACTATGTATAGGTTGGGGTGTTACAATTTTGGTATCAGAGCTTAGGTGTGATAGGTTTTGTAGACAAGTGATTCTAGTTTAGCAGTGATAAAGGGTAGGGTGTCAAGGGTCAACCGGAGTGTGATGAGATGGATATCCATGCTATATAAATATGTATATCTTTCCATGTTGACTTTCATCTTTAAAGCATTGCGCAATATGGCAATTAGACTTGCATAATTGTGTTGCATTGTGCATTACGACATTTAGAATTGAATGAAATAGATGGGAATGGGTTGTTCCATGCTCAAAAAGAAAAGTTGAGGAACATAACATGTAATGTCAAGAATGGGTGATGGTTGGTTGAACATATGAGATATCACTCAGGTGATATTTGAGGTTATGGAATGGATGATTTAATTGCTTAATATACCATTGTTAATTTGTAACGCCCCAAATTCCCCCTTGGTTGACATTACAATCTAAATCCATTCACATCATGAGAACAACTAATAAAATCCATCAATAAAGAAATTTCATTCATCAAATGTAATATTTACAACATCATTCCCAAAATAATATGTCAAAACATGGCTATTATATCCTAAAAGAATCACATTTAAACTTGCAGCGGAATATAACAAAAGATTAGTTTTTACATAATCTCAAAAGAAATTTCCTAGTCTAGCACCTAGGAGAGTATAACCCTAAGCATCCACCTCAAGATCCACGTGCCCGTCTAGCGGAGCTTCCCAATGCACCTGCTCATTGACTCCGAGCTCCTCATCTAACACGTAATTTGAAAAATAAATTGTTTGTAGGGGTGAGCAATAAGCTCTGTAGCAACATTCCTCCTAAACTCAAACAAGGTTTAAAAAATATGTAAAACAAGTCGGTCTTATTTCGCAAATATCATATATTAATTTTTGAAAGAAAACAAGAACATTTCAATAAATCTCAAGTTTACACAATAGCAATAAATTAAGTGAAGTAATAACGCCAAATTACAATTAACAAATCATTTACAATCATAAACCATTTTCCACAAGTTCTTGTAGAATCTCATACTTCTACAAGCTCTTGTAGAAAATCGTTTTTGGTACAATAAACCATTTCCAACCATAAACCATTTTCCATAAGTTCTTGTAGAGTCTCATACCTCCATAAGTTCTTGTAGGAAACCAATTCCACACAATAACAATAATCGTTCAATAGTGTCATCCCATATTCTCATGTATGTTGGTTGCTTCCTATGAATCTACACAAAGACTCTACCTCGTTCACTCAATCATAACCACACAAACCACTTTAGGAAGGGTATATACTGTTTCCCACGGCATTGACGAATCCTTCCCAAAAAAGGTATACCATCCCTCAGCCTCGAACTTACGTGAACAATAATGATTGCTCTCACAAACAACAAACCACTACAAGTGTTAGGAAACCATCTCACCCCCACTGGGATAGACTAACCTTTAACACTCTACAGTAGTGCTCGAATGCAATTTAAGTCC